CGTAAGGCTATTAAGTATTTTTACCTGAAATGTACTGGTTCTTATCCAGAAAGAGGTTTTTGTCATCATACCCTTTTGAATTTCTTCGATATACAGGGTGTCCGCAAAGTTGGTTTTTTTTTTAGAAACAACTACCCTTGAAATAACAAAGGTAATGTGTAGTGAAACGAGGGCGACCAAGTAAAAAAAAATAAAGGAAAAAGTACTCACTCTCCAGTTGACGAGAAGGGCTAAGTACGTCTCTGCCCGAAATCATACCCCTCCAACAGAAAATGAAATCAGCTGACCGAGCAGACGCAGGCAAACAAGGAAGGCAAAATGTTTCGTAAAAAGTCTAGGTATTGCATCCCTTCCAATCGATTTGGGAGAATAAATGGTCCAATGAGCATACCGTTCACCATGCCAGCCCAAACATTCACCGAAAATGTTTGTTGAAAATGTGCCCGACGGACAGCGTGCGGATTTTCTACTGACCAAACATGAGTGTTGCGAAAGTTATTCACCCCATTACGCGTGAACGTAGATTCGTCTGTCACCAATATGCACTTCAAAAAGTCCGGATTATTGTCATGCAACATGCAATAACCACTCACAAAACCGCACTCTTGCTGGAAAATCGTCAGGTTGAAGGGCTTGTACACGTTGGACGTGAAACGGATACAGCCCCTCTTCACGCAGCGTTTGCCACACTTTAGTTTTTGATACTTGCACTTCTCTAGCCACGTCTCTAGTACTTGTTGAGGGATTCACGTCTACGCGATTATCTCTACACGCGTGACCGTAACCGTCGGTTGAAGGTTGCATACTGACCTGACACACTGACCCCGACCCAGTTCTGTCGTCGGGTTGAGCTAGTGTCCTAGTACCACTGGGGGATGTTGCGGCTACAGGACGGTATTCAGATATTTTTGATGTTGCAGAGCCCTTTATCTCGGTTCCCTTAAGACATTGGTGTATATGGTACTAAGAAAAATTGCTTATGTTTTCAAGATCTACACGTCGTGTAAAGGAAAACCCCAACTTTGCGGACACCCTGTAGATTCACTATCAATTAGACGTAATATGTTTGCCTTATTGTTTTTATATGGCCTTATGCATAACCAAATTGACTGTCCGGATTTACTTGGAAAAATATATTTCCGTATTCCAAGGCTTGAAAGTCGTCAACAATCAGCCTTTTATTGTCAAGCAGGCCGGACGAACGTAATGTTGAAATCTCCAGTGTATGTAATGTGCAGTCTGATGAACTCTATTTGTGATCTGTGTGATATTTATAGTGACAGCTGTAAATCAATCATAAATTGCTATAAGTCATCGATTGTTCTCTGAGCTTACCTAGGCCAATTGATGCTGTCTAAGTTTTCAATGTGTCTCTTTATTTTCATTTTGTTAATGTATTTGAGCTTTTCCTGTAATTGGGTTTTACCTGTAGGAAATATGAAATATAAATATAAGTATCTTAACGTTTAGGCAACACACACAGCTGCTACATCAAGTGAACATGAAAAAAATGACATCCAGCTCATGAGTAGCTCCATAAATGTGAAGCTAGTTTTTTTAACTTTAACATAGCCAATAAGGATTGCATATGAAATGTTGCTTCAATAAGACTAACTCCGTGTCTCTTACAATTTCCGTTTCGCTGATTTTTTATTTAATTTTAACCGATAAGAAACAGTGCCAGTGGTTTGTTATTCATCCACTTTATCGCTCTAATATCTTCTGTCGGACTCTAGTAAATACCCACAAGGGCTCAAACACAGCACAGCGTGGATTGCCAAGCAACTACTAAATCATCTACTCATTCAAACATTTCATTCCACAAAAGTGATTTATTTGCTGCAATAACCATCCTCCAGAAACAAGAACAGCTTTTGTAATATGTTTATTTACTTTGTCACTTCAATTTCTAGCACCAATGCTTGCCTGCTTCATCAGCAAAAGCTTTCCAGTCTAGTTGCGTTGTGTAATCAGGACATTTTATACAGGTTAACCAACTTACATTAAAAACGATGTTTGATATGCGAGGTCTTGATTTTGAAGTTTTAGGCGATTTTTTAATCAAGTCACATAGCGATATATCAACTGGTTTACGAGCTATGTTTAAATACCTAACCAATAACTACTTCAGCGCTATTTCAGGAGTATCCATCAGGTTTTGACGTCTACTGAGGTGAATAGTTGATCAGCAAGTGACATCTTTATATTAGTCTGTAACGTTGGCAATAATGTACCGACAGGGGTATTATGTAAAAAAACGACAAAATGCCTTCTTGCAGACTAGGTAGTTTTTAGAGTGCAAATAGTGCATGCATGCATTGTTGGTTGCAGAAGGCAGAATGTACATGATTTGTGTAGCCGAGTAGTTCACAGTGTTTATCTCTGCGAAGATATGAAAGAAAGAAAGTTGGATGAGTAGCAAGATCGCGCATACTGCCAATCAAGTATATCTATTAGCTGTGCCCGTCGGGTTATTTATATGATGTCCGTTTTGAAGACAGGTTATGCAGTTATTTTCCCGTTTTTTTTTGTGTTTTCGGAGACTTTGAGGAGCATTACGAGAAATCATCACTGCGTTCCGTTGTCTCACATAAAATGTCACTTTTCAAGATACGTAATATCGGTGCCGGTGTAAATCTAGCGTTTTTTTGTTTGTAAGCAAATGAACTTTTCTAAGTAAATGAGTAATTAGGAAGTACAAAGTGAATCTGTAACGTACAAACACCAAAACAAAATATGGTTATGTCTACTTGGCGTCAGAATTATGTGCCATTTGCTAACATGGGGAATTTTGAAATATTACTAGATAAACAGCTTTGAGTCTACAGTAGTGAATTTCCGCGAAAAGACCATATTTCTGGGAAAAAATAATTTGGTTGAAAGAAGTCTAAAATGACGCTCTGATAATATATTTGTTTTTAAAATGACTTCAATGCTTAAATAAGTGATTATTCCATATGCGACATATTCATATTAATAAAAAAAGTTGCCTTACAATACTTATGTTCTATTTACGCTATCCCTTTAAATAACCAAGTATAACGCCAGCAATGTGTAAGAACTTTATGAGTTTGTCTAGTAATATTTATCTAGGCAAATCTGTAAAAATGAATTAATCTGTAATTACTACGACCTTCTCATTTACAAATGATATAAACTATCATATCTTTGTCTTTGCATGTTTACTGATATTTCATGGTATCATGTGATAATAAGTTTGCAGTGTATTGAGCGAATCTTCTCGTACGTCTTCAGAACATTTGTATTATGTTATTAGATATTCCGATCCAATGGTAATACCACAGCTGTTCTACTGACAGAAAGGGTTGCTGAAACAAGAATTCTAAACCTAAAAGCAATTTTCCATTGAAGCAATCCACGTCTTAAAAAACTTGGGTGGGTTGATTACTTATTCACTAGAGAACTCGGCTACCTTAATTAGAATTCAGTGGGTCCAGAACACAAAAAAACTGACAAAAATACAATTTCTACAGCAGGTACTTTTTGGTAGTTGATTTTAAAGGGTGCACCATCAGTTGTTTTTTTAGGTTGGTATTTTTCTGACCGTTGGCATAACGACCTGGGATTATTTCCTCAACTTGTGCAAGAGTTGAAACAAAATGACCATCCGCTTCGATATAGTTTCTCTGTGTGGGCTCTAAATCTCTCTCTAAATTTTGGTTGCCAAATAATCTTTTCGGGCGAAGCCCATTGCTGTCTGGGAGGTTACGTTAACAAGCAGAACTGTAGGATTTGGGGTTCTGAAAATCCACATGTCATCATAGAAAAACCAATGCATCTGAAAAGAGTAACTGTTTGGTGTGGCTTTTGGAGTGGTGTGATTATTGGTCCACGCTTTTTTCAAGATGAAGATGATAACAGCGTGACGGTAAACTGGGAACGCTATAGTGACATGTTGATGTGTTTTTTGTGGCCACTATTAGACGACATGCACTTGCACAATCTCTGGTTCCAACCGGATGGCGCAACATGCCACACCAGCCGTGAAACAATCGATCTTTTACACACTAAGCACTAAGTTCGGACATCGCGTTATCAGCCGTTTTGGAGCCGTTCATTGGACAGCCCGCAGCTGTGATTTGACGCCCATGGATTACTTCCTATTGGGTACTGTTACACTAACGATGCTCAAACAATTGATGTTCTTAAGGAAAATATCCGTCAAGCTATTGATGAAATAGACCCACAAACTATCGAAAATATGCTTCAAAATTGGGTTAAGAGGATGGACTACTGTCAGGCCAGCCGCGAAAGCCATTTAACTGAAATTGTTTTTCATAAATAAACGGAAGATGTATTCTTTTGAATAAAGAATCGAGTGTTACATATTATTGAAGAGTGTAGTCTTAATACCAATTTAAAAAAGAAACTAAAAGAAGGTCCACCCTTTATATCCGTGGTTATCCCTTTGATGATATTTGAAGGTCACTTCAAGGTCATATCATAGAAACATGAACCTAACCACATGTCATTTTGCATTTTCTGGTCACCGTGTCCCAATCATAAGTCAACAAGTTACTATACAGGGTGTGATTTAATTGATGGTTGAAAATACAAGATATATTTCCTTGGATCATTTTAGGAAAAAAGTTTATATGAACATATGTCCTAAACTACTGAGCTACAGGGTGTTAAATTTTTAAGAAAAAATTCGTTTTCTCATCATAACTTTAATACTGCTGTTGATATTTTCATGATTTGACATGCACCAATATGAATTCTTTGATATAGAATATTTTTTAATATTTCTAGCAGTGGTCTCTGTATTCTGAGTATTTAAAAAAACATATACTCCAAAGCTTTAAAAAAAAATCCGATGCACCATTTTTGCGTGAAAAAATAAGAACCACTTTCATGCACTTGTGGTATAACGAAATTATTTTGTACTAGTAGGTTGGTGCCCTGTTTTGTTTTTAAAATAATGGCATTTGATCGATTACGTTGCGGTATTATTTTGACAAGTATATAAGGTAATCGTGATGGTTTTACTTTTTTGCCAAATCATAAGAAATACTTCTGGAATTTTTTAAAGGGTTCGCCAATCGATGAGAAACAGAATTGAAGTCTGTATTCTAGCAGAAGGGTGACGTTTTCAACAATTCTTGTGATAAAAGACCAGTATGTATTAGGGAAGAACTTTAAAGTCAGTCAAATGACAAAAATGTCAGGTCTGATGGCTCAGAGTCAGACAAGTTGAAAGTGAAAGGCGAGAGGGAGAAAGAAGAAAAGCAAGTAGGAGAAGGAATTGAGAGTATAACTGTTGCGATTTTCTACTTGCCCACCGAATTTAAGAAACACATTAGTTTTTGCATTTGTTAGGATGTTCTGCCTGAAAATAGACAACCTAATATAATATTTGTGCGTCTCAAAAATTATCCGAGATGAAATGAGATATCGTAGCGCCATCTATGAGAATTTGCGACAGGTCTAGCTTGAAAATAATTATTATGTCTCGTAGCTATACACCTTAGGAAAAACCATTGTTATACATGGGAAATCATTTCTTGGCAACAGCGCATCGGCTCGTCTACTTTCATCGCTATTCGTACATATTTCCTACCGTTAACCGCAGACCTGTATCACGAATGAGAATAATAGGCAGATACGCTGTGTTGCCAATTTGAGTAGAGCTTCCCAAATTGTGGGGAATTTAGAGTTAAGTCTTGATTCATTCAAGCTTTTAATCAGCATGGCCTAGACGTTAGAACTTCATAAAGATAACATTGAAGCTGAATGCTGCTGGAGAATAGTGTTTCGAATATTCAAAGCGGAACGGGCCACTATACTCGTTCAATGGGTCATCAAGCCACAGTCTTTTCAACAAAGAAATTATTTTACGAAAATGCGTTATGTTTTTACGATTTTGTCGCCACCAAATCTCTGTTTCTCAAAATGTACGTCTATTGTAGAATTTTCAGCAAACTAAGCGAGAAACGTGATCTAGTATTTACTCAACATTACGGATTTCTCGAAATACATTAAAAAATGTGACCTAGATACCTAACTGCCCCAAGCTCTTTAAATATAACACCTTAAACCAGGGTTACCAGGTGCTCAGTCACGTTGATTGTCATGTTGTACTGTGCAAGTCAGCAAACAATCTGGCGTAATAAACGTTAGGAATCATCAGGTATTGCCAGATTCCCGAATACCGGGCACCATAGTAACCGTTATAGTTGTCCTTCAAAGTTGTCAAATCGCCCCTATGGCGCAAATTCGCCACACCAGGCAACTGTGCTATAAACAAACCCTGTTTATCACTACTATTTGATAGTCATATGGTAGTTGTAGCCCTATCTAGCGGTCCATGATTTATCTCAATACTGTTTTATCTCTACTGGCAACAAGAATTGGGATTACAAAATCATTTATACAACAATATACAAATATGAAAAATATGATTTGAATTATCGCAACAAGAATGCCTTGCTGAGTTACTGTCTGTTTTTGGCAACGCAGCGCCACATCAGTCGACAATTTCCCGTTGGTATGGAGAATTCAAACGTGGACGGGTGAGGCTTAGCGACGATTCCAGGGCGGGTGCACCAAGAACGGCAGTCACTCAGGAAAACGTCGATGGTGTGCACAAACTCATCATTGAAGGTAGACATGTGACATATCGTGAGATTGAGGCGTCCTTGAAGATCTCAAAGGCCTCAATTCAAAAAATTTTACATGAAGAATTAGGAGTAATAGAATTAGTTTCTCGGTGGATACCCCACCTGTTGACTGAAGAGCAGAAAGCAGCCAGTCACAAAAGTCATCCGTTCTCGAAGTGTTTCGAAAAAGATGGTTGCGACATTTGTGTGAAAATCGGATCATATTGCAACAATTCCTCTTAATGAGCAAAGAACTGTTACTGCGGATTGGTATACCACCATGTGTTTGCCAAAAGTCATCACCAAGCTTCGAAAAATCAACCCCGAAAGAAGAATCATCCTCCACCAAGACAATGCAAGCTCGCACACATCCCAAAAAGCAAGGCAGAAAACGTGAAATAATTGGACCATCCTCCATATAGTCCCGATCTAAGTCCTAACGATTTGGATCTGCCAGCAAACAAGTGGAATAAGTGCTTCGAAAATTAGTTCCAGCGCATGCAGATATGTATTAATCTTCGTGGAGAAGACTTCGAAAAACAATAAAGTCATTTAAGACTGTGTTGTTTTATTTCCATATGCAAAACTTAAAAGACATCCTCGTATAGTATCAGTTTGGCTATCTTCAGCTACAATACGTTAATGAATGGTTTTAATTACTACTACGTAATAAAACTAGTTTAAATAACATGGACTTTTACGCGCTAGGGCTATAATAATCTCGTGTTTTGACTAAATAATAATTGCATCATTAAACGGATTCGTGACAAGTAGCACTTATTAGAGAAGCTTTCGTGTTTTCCACAGTACTATTATGGAACGGAATGTACAAACATTTATTTAGTTACGAAATCGAAACGTTAGAACAGAACGATATCGTCCAAACTACGAGAAAATCAAGGTAACAATAGCATTATAATGAGGAGCACTTTCTCTCACCTGACGGTTGATGATCGTACTGTGTTACCATAAAAATTTTCGTAAATGCGGTGAAATTTGGATTGCTTCAGAAGTGTTTTCTTCGGAATAATTTTTAGTATATTATTTTTGGGTAGGCTACGAATTGTCGATGTGCAGAATTCGAGGTAGAAAATGAGTCGCTTGGCGCTTACCATGAGGCAGCTAGACTCCGAATCTACGAGCATTATTTACAAATGCAGCCAGTTCTTATACAGATTACAGCAGATGAATTTTAGATGATGTCATATTACCTACATACCAGGGATGTCCTTTAAGTTTTGCATATAGAAACATAGTCGCCCGCGCGGATCGAACGTCAGTACTGAATCTTAACCTTACTCTTTAGTAAACTTAAACTCAAAGTATCACAACAATACGTGCAGTGTTCTCATTACAGTGAATTTTTGAGTGTCACCAAGTCGGAACTCAACCGAGAACATTTTCGCGCCATAATTTATTACAACTTTCAGAGACAATTATTGCAAGAAGAATGCCTTGCTGAGTTACTGTCTGTTTTCGACAACGAAGCGCCACATCAGTCGACAATTTCCCGTTGGTATGAAGAATTCAAACGTGGACGGGTGAGTCTTAACGACGATCCCAGGGTGGGTGCACCAAAAACGGCAGTCACCCAGGAAAACGTCGATGCTGTGCGCAAACTCATCATTGAAGATAGACATGTGACATATCCCGAGATTGAGGCGCCCTTGAAGATCTCAAAGACCTCACTTCAAAAAATTTAACATGAAGAATTAGGAGTAAGAAAATTAGTTTCTCGTTGGATACCCCACCTGTTGACTGAAGAGCAGAAAGCAGCCAGGGTTAATTGGTGTCAAAAAAACGCTTGACCGTTTTAATTCCGGAAACTCAAAAAATGTGTACAGCATTCTTAGTGGTGATGAATCGTGGATTTACTGTTATGAACCAGAAAATAAACGACAGTCGGCTGTTTGGGTGTTCCAAGGTGAAGAAAAGCCAACAAAATTCATCGGTTCTCGAAGTGTTTCGAAAAAGATGGTCGCGCCATTTGTGTCAAAAGCGGGTCATATTGCAGCAATTCCTCTTAATGAGCAAAGAACTGTTACTGCGGATTGGTATACCACCATTTGCCAAAAGTCATCACCGAGCTTCGAAAAATCAACCCCGCAAGAAGAATCATCCAAGCTCGCACACAGCCCAAAAAACAAAGCAGTATTTAACGGAACAGAACGTGGAATTATTGGACCATCCTCCATATAGTCCCGATCTAAGTCCTTACGATTTCATTACTTTCCCGTAAATTAAAAACAGACTGCGTGGTCAAAGGTTCCAGTCACCAGAAGAAGCAGTTGACGCATTCAAAAATACCGTTTAAGATCTGCCAGCAAACGAGTGGAATAAGTGCTTCGAAAATTGGTTCAAGCGGATGCGGATGTGTATTAATCTTCGTGGAGAATACTTCGAAAAACAATAAAGTCATTTAAAACTACCTACCGTGTTGTTTTATTTCCATATGCAAAACTTAAAAGACATCCCTCGTACACTGCTCCTCTTGCATATCAACGACCTCCTTCACTGTACGATCAATGCAATCCACGGAAGAAGAGAGAATGTTTCTCTTGGTTATGGATAAATGATCTGATTCTCCTTAGGTGGTGAACGGTCTTAAGCTGTCGAGCGTGGAGGTACCACCCGGCGGATCTCTAACACTGAACCAGATGGTCCCTCGCTAGGGTCCGTGTGATGCCAGGTCTTTAAAGAAACGTATTGAGGATCGCTGAAATCGAATCCGTAGACATTCTGAGAATATCTGATTCTTATTATGAATATCTCATCATTTGAAAAAAAATGCAAAAGATGCGGCTTTGCCGCGCAAAAAGTCCGTTTTAGTTATCGTTAGTCATGAGCGAAGGAAAACTTTGGTAGGCTTAGGGTAGCATGCAATTTGGATGGTCGGGTCTCAAGACTGAGGTCTTGAGACCTCGATGATTAAAGTACTACAGAAAAAGCTTGGAGCAACACCTATAGATCTAGACATCCTCTACTCCCTTAATCAAGAAAAATATTGAGTCATTCAGAAAAAGCGTGTATAAGTGAGTATGATGTAAACATATGTATAATGATCTTATTCTAACATTTGATTTCAATCACCTATGAGTGTACGGAACTACATGACTAATATTGTTTGTTTATTTAACTATGATATTTTTCCATTTATTTTACTACAATATGTAATTAATTGCAATCATACCTTAAAGTAGCGTATTATATCACGCTATGGCATTTAGTGTCTATTTTCTTCTTTCACTGCGCTATTTGGTGAACATAAATTCAATACATTTTGTAATTTATGTTTATTGAGTATTTATACAGATAGTCTAGTGCAGAGTTACTGGGACGTAAGCAAAACTATGAAAACCATTGATAAGAAACTTTCGTAAAAGTACTGAACGTGCTTTGAATCCATCTGAAAAGGCAGACATAAAAGTATTTGCAAAATGACGGTCGCACAATACATCTAGCGGAAACAAAATCTCATTATGCTTTGTTTTTATACCAGGTGGTCATAAAAGACGTAAGCTATGGATTTTTCGACTCTCCAGCAAAATAGTTCAAAAACCAAATCCAGTAGAATCTCATTGTTGCAGAAACGTTTTAATTCTGTTTTCGTTCGGTATAGCCATTTTTTAAACATTTCTACAGGGTGATACAGAGAGCTATCATGGGAGAGGACCAGATTCAGAACGTTAATATGAAAAAAAAGGGGAAACTCCTTTTTTATGTTTAGCGAAAAATTGTAAGCCCCGATATTTACAAAAATAAGTGTCGTATTCTCCACGCCATATTGATTCTTTTCGAAAAATTTCTCTCGGAGTTTCTCGTTATGTTCGTAAAAAATGTGCCAGCTCTATGGCTACATCTCAGTAACAATAACTCGATTGGTATACTGGTTAATACAATAATTTTTGATAGCCCAGTCACCACTGTGACCGCAAGAGGCTCACGATTCTGGAGGTATAATAAATGTGGTCTACTCGAGATCTTATACCTTGTATAGTTGCTATGCCTTAGTTCGTTGTCCACTTGGTCTCTGTACCAAGCCTAGACCATGATGTTACCAAAAAGCACGAAACAGCTGTCCATAGTTGGCACGCAGCATGTTAATTTTTCTTCCGAAAACGGTGCATCTGAACGGATAATTACAAGAGGCAGTTTTTAGGTAGTCAATCTCGCTTTGAGATGCTGATACTATTTTTTACCAGAACCTATGGCGTAATATTTTTTCGCTAAACATAAAGACTTGTCGGCAAGAACGCCGCTAGTGTAAGCGCTTAATGGAAAGAAATGTAAATGTTACTGTGACCTTTTATACATGTTCATGTACCACAACTCATTTCAATACCTGGATCCATTTTCGAGAAATGTAAGATGGACAAGCCTAAACACCCTGTATAGCTATAACTTGGAGGTTGACAATCCGCACGGGTATCATGTAAAAAACCTATAAAACGTCAAAAAAAACCTATAAGATGTCAACTTGCAGACTAGGTAGTTTTTAGGGCGCAAACAGTCATTCCACGTTTGCTCACTAGGATCGTTGTGAACGTCCATCTATGGAGGAATCACTCAACTAAACTACGCATTATTGGTTGCATAGTTTTGTGAGGCTGAGTGATCCGGGTCTGTAGTTTTTATCTCTGAGAAGGAAGTTGGTTGAATAGCAAGATCGCATCTGGATGATTATGTGTATTGGTCTGCCGGTGTATAAAATCGGCGATATTTGCTGTGTGAGAAAATCATTACTGACTAGGCCGAATATGATGGGTTATTTATATGTTGTGCTTTCTGAAAAGAGGTTATGTTCAAAGTTATAAATTTCGAAAAACTGAGGAGAATTACGGGAAATCATCATCGCGCCCGCGTTGTGTGTAAATACTGTTAGCATGTATATGGCTTGTAATTCGACAGTGTACAGTGATTATAATTATTTCTTATCTCTCTCATTTTTGAAATTCGGCAAATTTGTATATGTAATTTCCAGAATGGATAAGAAAAAGTGGATGCTCAACTAATTTCTAGCTTTGAATCTCAATTAAGTGTATTTGAGACAAGAACCCAATGTGATTATCATCAACACATACAACTTACAGCTTACACCTCCAGTAATGCCATCTCAGAAGCAGATTTTACATCACATCAGAGCCAAATATTGATAACAAGCCTCATGACGTTTAGGCAACACGTACAACTAAGTGCTAGGTTAACATCTTGTAGAATAACCTGCATAATGTAAAAAAAAAATATTGTCAAAAAAATCGGCATAATGTCGCTTTTCAAGATACGTGATACCCCTGCTGTTTTCCGTAAATACGTTTTTCGAGTTTTGGTTAGCTAACCCGCAATTGTTGATGCAGCAACGTTGCTTCTGCATCCGAGCCATCGTGTTCTGTCACGCTCGGTGTTTGTGTCTCGCGGCATCCATGTCACCCTCAAGCCAAAAAGGATAGGCATTTGGGCTTAACTACAACCTACAAGGCCCTTTTTCAAAGTAAGAATCGATTGCGCATCGTGAGCGCGCATCCGTTCAACCTCAGACACTCTTGGCCAGTCTCTCACTACGTCTCTGTAGGTGTTAGTTGTGTGTTATACTGGCTTGTTTGTCGCCATGTGAAGTGTGCTTAGTAATCCGGTTTTTAAACGCAAAAAGCTGGTCCTGTTGACATTCACCAACAGCTTTTTAATTATCGGACAAATGTCCATACTTGTATCACTTGTATTCCTAATTTATATATTTAATTTTGCAAGTTATCTTAATCTGTGTAAGGTCTATTTTTACGCTGATGACATTCAAATCTATAGCAGCTTCCCTCCAGAAATGATGGCTCATTTTTCGTTGATTATAAATACTGAGCTAAACTATTTCGTAGAATGTGCTAATAGTTTTTCGATCAAAAAGTCATAAAAATGTAATATCGAATTCTGTTAAAATTTAGATCTCAATGGACGATGTAAAAAATGTAGATGTTTCGATTGATAACAATCGTCGCTTTGAGTATCACATCAATAAAATAGTTCAGCGAGCATATTTGTCATTAAATCACTTTACGGTAGCCGCAGGTTCCTTTCGTTGAAATTTAAAATGATGCTCTATGATGACTTTGATAGCATCATTATTCAACTGAGCTGATGTGGTTTATGGCCCTCATTTCACCTGTGTCGACGTAACATTCAAATGGTACAAAATTCCTGTCTGCGTGTTGCATTTCGAATACTGTATAGATAAGGAATATCTCACAAATTAGAAGATGCAGGTTGGTTAAATACGGAAAATTGCAAGCTCCTCTACTCCTCTGTTTTTTTATCAAAAAATAACTTTCCGAACTGATGTTCATAACATTAACTTAAGAAATAAGAGTCTCCTTTCACAACCCAAGTTCGAAACGTCATTTTTTAAACGAAGCTTGACATATTAGATATGTAAAGTCTACAATTCAGCCGGAAAGTAGATGAAATTATTTAAAACAAACTCTTTCAAAGAAATGTTTAGGGAAGAATTGCTGCAAAAACATTAACACTACAGGAATCGTTGTTTTTTCGTGCATAGCCTTTTTTAAAATAACTTTTATGTGTGTCTCCGGTTTAGCTTGTCTTGTTGCATATAGCGCAGAGGAAGTAGAAGAGTAGGTTGCTGGTACCAAGCAAGCTGAACTTCGCCCTTTATTGACAGATTCAAATTATCTTTTTCTTTATTTACCACTTTATCACTTTATGTCAATAATAAAGACTGTTATTATTATTATTGTTATCGTTCATGACAACGCTCGGCCTCACGTTGTGACAAGAGCACAGATGCAACTTGACAAGTTTCGTTGCGCATTACTGGATCATCCACCATACAGCCCTAACTAAATACCATCAGACTTTCATCTTTTCCAAAACATTAGGAATTTTTTGGTGGAAAGCGCTCGAAAAATGATGACATGTTGAAGGAAGCGTTCTTTGACAACGGAATCCAAAACCTGGTGCGGCGACTTGACAAATGCTTAAATGATTATGGTGACTATGTTGGATGATGAAAAAATGTTCATACTCCAGTTTGTGATAAAATTTACACACATAAATAAAATTTCTCTGTCTCCATTACAAAACGGTTCCCACTTAAAAAATGACCCTCGTATAAGCGGTCCTCGTGTTGAAATTAACTACCATTTTAGGACAAACTTGACATTTAAAAACACAGTTAACTTCCGGTCATCAATAAGGTGCCAGTGAAAAACAAGGCCTGAAGATTTCAGACATTTTTGAGTCATCCTGTACAAAGTGCGTAGACATGTGTTCTACTATACTTATGAATATGCAAAAAGCAATGTTCCGAGAAATATACCGTTGGTTTTTATGTTGTTTTTTAGCTGTCGGCTAAATGATCATAAATAAATAAATTAATCTTGACATTGTTTTTGTATAAATGCACTTTATTAACTATCGTATCTGATAGCGATCGTTAAATTATATGAATGAAATTGTACGGGGGATATGAGTAATGGAGGATTGAGGATTAGATCATCGACTAGTATTCTGTATTGGAGGATGGGTTTTCAGCCAATCCCACATATGCCTTATTTCACTAGTATCCATTACGCTTTGACGCCTGCTAAGGTGAACAGCTGATCAGCAAGTGACATTTTTGTGTTAGTCTGCAACGTTGGCTATAATTTGTTCGTTGCGTTTTGTTTTTTGTATGGAAATGAACTTTTCTAAATTAAAAGAGCCTTTAACAAGTACAACATGAATCTGTAGCGTACAAAAAAACAAAACAAAATCTGGCTCTGTCCACCTGACATTGACGAAACGTCCTTATGGGGAATTTTGAATTTTTTTTTTGTTTGTTTCAAAGTTTCAAAGTTTATTCAAATTCAAAAACCAATATAACTTACAAATTAAGAAAAACAACCTTCAGCACAATTTAAATAAAAAAAAGCTTCAAAAATATATGAGCTTATATACTCTTGCTACCCTGAATAACCAAGATTGCAACAGAAATCTGAGCAAAAGATACTAGCATCAGATCTAGAACCAGCAAGTAACGGTATATGAATTGTGAAAATTCTGTATACTTTCGTAAAGGGTAAATGTCTGAATCTTGTCGTCACAAATCCTAAATTACGTGTCTGCATAAACAAATCTAAAATTCATAACAATAGTACAGAAGCATACTAAAAACACTCAGAATTATAAATATAGAGTACATAAAATATAAATATCTGAAATATGATAATATAAGGATATTTCGAGTAAGGTCAAACTATGTTGTTTAAACAACAAAAATTCTGCGTAAAGGTTAAGCAGAGAAACAAGAGTACTACCATTTACTACAAAAGAATTTACTACAAAAGAATAGACATCTAAGCTATAAGCTTGTGTGTGTCATACAATATACAAATTCGTCAAGTATAGTATAAAATTAATTGGATCAAGTTATTAAAACAAGCTCAAACAATTGAAATGTTCATATTTAGCATGTTATTGTACAACCTCAGACCTCGTGAGCAAGGTATATTATAATAAAAATAGACCAAAATACCAACAATAGGCTTCTACTTGGTAGATTGTACATGCAAGGTGTTTGTGTCCAATTCGGCTCTTACCACTGGAATCTCGAAAGCTGTAAGTCCCTTAAATGGGGATAAAGTTGCGTATTTAGATAACCAACAAAACGCCGGCGCCGGTTAGAAAGTTTCGAAATTCAAAGTAATTCCGTACAAAGACGAAAAAGGCCTAAATTTCCCAAAATCGTTATAGCTTTTTCCTGAATTTATTTCATAATAAATTGCACATTTCCACTTTTCTCCTGTACAAGATGGAATAATTAGAATGTCAATATGACGTGCCGTCTCTTGTTCTACAGCATCAACTTTATTTTGATGTTTGAAATGACATTGTTAACCATTGGTTAATCCAGAAAAAAAACAGAAGTTCCTAGGTAGGCTTTGAAATTACCAGATTTTGTTTCGTATACAAAACACCTCGAATTGACGATAGCAACATAGTTTGACAGACTGAGAAGAAGGGAAATAAATCAAGCACTGAACGATGTACAAAGAAGAGTCAGGCTTTGTCTACAAAACAACGTACAATATTTTGAACATCTGGTATGATCTACCTGTTATTACCATCAATAAAATTTTCATTTTAGTGTTCTATCCTTTTAATTTCTTACAATCTTCATACAACAACAAATTCATGGCAAACTAACAAAATACAACGCTGAATTTATTACTGAAAAGCTCGTTTAAATGTACAATGTCTATATAAAAAAAACAAAGTTGGTCTTGAAAGTCGAAAGAAGAAATGTGGAATTGAAAATTTGAGTACGCCATCTTGTAGACGAGAATAAGTGGCACTGACAACATGCAATGTATTTTGAAATCCCACCTCAAATAAAGTCAGGAAGAAATAAAAGTGATTTTGGGATAAATCTGGTAGACGAGACAAATGACTACGTTTAGGCATGCACGGTCGTGCTAGGGTTAGAAGGCGACGTGGTGAAAGGAGGAATCCACAGTTTTGCCTGGAATGAGATACCACAGGAGGACATTGACCACCTGATCAGAAGCATGCCTAGGCGCGTTGGAGAATGCATAGCACATCAGGGTGCATCCACACATTATTAAAGGTCAAAGGGCTTTAAAGCAGTGCAATCATTTTGAAATTTTTATCATTTACTTTTTATGCTTCATTAAGTGCTTATACAAAATTTTATTAAAATAAAACCATTTAAACTGGGTGTTCGGATTTATATGTCACTTAGTATATGTTTTTGTAATCCGAATTAAACATTGAAAAAAAAGCAAATGGAATGTTACTCTTTTATTGATGGAATATTCCAGAAAATATATATATATACTGACCAGAGGCGGATCTAGAAAATATTCAGTGTTCCGAGTAAAATTCGATACAGAAATTGCATCATTTTCAAACTTTGACCAATGTGTCCGGAGATACCGTACAATAAATCAATCTGAAATCGTGCATAGCTAAGGGGTACACTTAGGTATAAGAACCTTAAACCAGCACCTTCCCCATTAGCAGTTGCGAATTTTTTAGATTTTTTCAAATCAATATTAAAAAAACAACAAAAATTCCTCAAAGATTGCAATCAAAAGTTATGGAAGATATATTACAGTTTCTCTTGTGATCACTGGTTGCCAAGATACCAGTGGTCGACGACAAAAGGATCCGTTTTCACTCAAAGCCAGATAACCCCGCGCTAAATGATCATATCGAGATTTTAAAAACAGAACATTGAAGCTGGATAAACGGGCTATCTGTTCCATACGGCCTAACAGAAAACGTGTTTTTCAAGCCCGTGGACCAGAAAGAAGGCAAAAATTTTGCAAAAAAAATTGTTTGCACAATCTGAAGCTTCAAAATGCTTATTTTAAAGTCTAGATACGACAATTTTTCACCATAAGAGCCTGTCAAAAATCACCGAAAAATTTGGATTTTTTTATTGCTCCTTAAGATTTCTGAGTAGTTTATTTTGTTGCTGGTGGTGAAGTACCGTTCTCGTTAGGACTCTTCGAGAATGCCTGGGTATAAACAAATACAAATCTAGTATTTATTGCATGCAAATATACGTAGTATTGTTTATTGAGGCCACTACTATTATGGTATCAATGCAAGCTATAGAAAAACCTTATCACAGGCCTCATCAAGTGACTAAGTCCATTTATCGCTATAGCTACTCAGGATTTTATAAAATGCGTACGTCTACGGCATTCTGCATTTGACACACATTTCGCAAGGTAACATAAAAAATTAATAGATACTTAAACTTTACGAGATTAAATTGTCTTAAACCATAATACTCCTTCAATGTCGATAGACGATATCGCATCTATTAATCTGGTGCTTTTAGAGTGTGTTATCTTATTCGCATGTAGTAAAACTAGATATCAACACTTATAGTATCTATTTACTTACAAAACTGTATTGATATGTAAATTCATACAGAGCTTTTCTGCATAGCCTCCCACCAATCGTTTTCTGAACGGAACAAGTTCGCAATATGAAATTCCAGGTGATGGAATTGACGCATGAATACCAATTTTACTAATTTAAAATGCAACCAATGAGAAGGCATCTTTGAAGTAATGAATATAATGAATATTGTCGATTTCTTGGATAATGTCTCTGAAACTAGACAAAAATTACAAGGTTTCTGAAGATGGGCCCCTAATTCCCGTTTTAAATCAAGAAATACGACATAAAATAATTGGTTTACATTTGTGTCAATGCATCGATGTAAAATCAGCTTTTGGGTCGTACTAGAAGCATGGCCACAAATCTGATACAATATAGTGGCGCTTTTAGGCAATCGGAATGTCTTATAATGGATAAATTAAGGAAACTCTAGTACATAAGATCCTTCTCCTTAAAGCGCCATACTATTATCTTTATATAAAGCTATCCCTCCTCTGTCAGTACGATCGAAGATCCTCTAGAAATAAAGGCATATATATATATATATATATATATATATATATGTATATATATAACAAAAAGTAGGAAATTAATGGGCAAAATCCGCAAAAAGGAGGAAAGTGGATTCGAGCAGAAAATAGGATAGGTAACCCGAGCGATACGTATTTCTGCTGGTTGGCTTCATCAGGCCCGAAATGAATGCACATATGAAACTACAAAAGTAGATACACATGCCCACACATCCGGATACGGGTGTAACCTGAGGAAACGGAGTTGGAGGGGGAAAAAACGACACACGAAGTCCACAACAAGAGCCAACCTACACATTGTTAGTGGACTTCGTGTGTCGTTTTTCCCCCTCCAACTTCGTTTCCTCAGGTTACACCCGTATCCGGATGTGTGAGCATGTGTATCTACTTTTGTAGTTTCATATGTGCATTCATTTCGGGCCTGATGAAGCCAACCAGCAAAAATACGTATCGCTCGGGTTACCTATCCTATTTTCTGCTCGAATCCACTTTCCTCCTTTTTGCGGATTTTGCCCATTATTTTCCTACTTTTTGTTATATACCTTTCTCCGCATGATCATATTCCCTATATATATATATATATATATATATATATATATATATATATATATGTAGGTGAAAAATAAAGCTTCCGCCTTTTGTTGGGTACTTCAACAAAATTCAAGTAAAGAGGACTCTTTATACTTTATTAATCTCTAGCTTTCAATGGACTTTGCCATCTTCAACAGGAGCTGCAATAACATTGAGAAGAAATAGCAACTATAGTGCAAAATGATTTTAAATTAACTTACAGTCATATGTGAGATTGTTGCTAAATGTTATTAACGTTTAGGTTGAGGGAAACAACCAGTAACCTGGTGAATGCTGGATGCATGGTACATTCGTCAAAAATAATATAAACTACACACAGCTGTATGTCAGGAACAAATTAAAACGGATTAAAAATATTTAAAAACAAAAGTTAAAATTACATCGTGAACCACTTGATGCTGCACAAGATGGTGGGCACAGGATCACAAGTAGGATGAAACATTTGACAGGTGACAGAAAGTTGGTGGTGTCAGTGTCAATGGATGGAACGAAAATTTGTAAAGTGTGTACTATGTTGCCAAATCACTTCAGATGGTTTTATTTATCCGAATATGTTAAATAAGAACTTGTCTACAGACCAGAGGCAGTTGAACAAACTGTATTGTTGATGAGATGGGCAATTGAATTGAACAATTATTATTTTATTATGAGAAAAAGCCAATTATTCAAATTTGAATGCAATGGAAATTTTGGAGGGAAAGGGTGGAATAGACCAAATATATTATCAATATCAGTTATTATACATATATATAATAATTGATTGTTTTCTTCCTCTGTGAAGTGTAAAATTTATGCTTTTTTTTTAGTGTTCAATGTTGTGAACTGTGCCACCTTTATTCCTTATAGTAGTTTACCAATCTGAGTCTTTAGGTCTGGTTGATACACAGCATAAGCAGACACTCCACCTGTACGTCACTTTTTCTTCCTAATAAGTCTACTATTTTGTAAAGCTGTGTCGAATGTATTATTATTAAATTATTTTAAGACGAATAATAACTATTCTTTAACAAACATCGAGTTACTATTGAATTTACTTGTTTACCGTGAGAAAAAACCTGTTCCTTAAGCCAGCTCTGTTAACAAGGAGCTCTCGCGCCCTCTACTGGGCAGTGGGATGACTATTTTTAGCCTTGCCATCGTCATCGCGGTGCGGCATGGTTGCGTAGTCGTTTCAGCGTTCAATAGAGTGCGCGACATCACTCTGTTAACAGTAACAAAGATGGCTCGATGTTTGTTAGAGAATAAACATTCTACAATTATATTTATGTCTTCGAATAATTTATTAACCAGAATTTTGTACAGCAACAGTGAGACGCTGTTATTTTCAATAAAATGCTGGGTAACGGCGTCATGTCAATCTATTATATTCGGTTCAATGCACGTTTCGAGTAGGCCACAAATACGAGCCCCTTCCCACTTCAGTTGGCCCAACTATTGAAATCTTAGTTTTTTTTCTTATCAAACACAAATAATAAAAATGTAGCAGGGTGTTATAGGTTTAAAATGTTAACGATGAATATTTTGATAATATATATAGTAGAAAACACCAACTTTATCACTCCCTAATCAAATTTGCAGCATAAAAATAACACATGTTGCAATTACAGCATATCAACCTATTTTCATTTCGATGCAAAATCAAGTCTATAACGCATAGGTGGCTGTGAAAAATAAAAGGCATGACAATTGTTTTTATTAATCACAGCTGTCAGAATACGTTTAAAATAGTTTTGGGTAGTTAAGGTTTTCAAAATGGGTAGAGGAAAGGTTATTAGTGAGAAAATTCGGTTACTGATAATTAATTTTTTTAATTCTGGGAAATCAAACTCAGAAATTGCAACTTTGTTAGAATTATCGCGGTACAGTATGAGAAATATTGTTAGAAGATATAACGTAACTGGTTCAGTTAATATTAAGCCACGATATGTGAAAAAAAGTAATATCACAAATGCCGACCGAAGAGCATTAAGAAGAATAATCGTGAAAAACAGGCGTGCCAATTATTTACAATTAAGTGCTCTGTGGAGTGACGCTGTTGGAAGGAAAATTTCCAAGTCCACAACTCATAGAGAGGCCCACAAACTGGGATTTAGCACTTGCAAGGTAAGTTTTTTTATAAAAAAAAGTGAAGTAAAAACCCTAAAGTTGCACAACTTGTTTATAGGTCAAAGAAAAGCCACTATTAACTCCACTGCAAAAGAAAAATCGGCTTAGATGGGCTAAAGATCATATAAAATGGACACCTCAACAATGGTGTGCAATACAATGGAGTGATGAGGCCCGATTCGAAGTTTGTGTTGGTGACAGTCGCAGTAGAGTTATTCGCAAACAAAATGAAGCATTCTGTTGACTGTTTGAAGAGAAAAGTGAATTTCCCAGAATCCATTATGGTCTGGGGCAGTATGTCATTAAAAGGAGTAGAAAAACTTCATTTTATTGATGGAAATGTGGATACAATATTTGGCAATTTTAGAAGAATCGCTTTTACAAGTGATGGAAGAATGTTTGACATCCGGTCAAGATTTTGTGTTTCAGCAAGATGGTGCAGCCTGACCTACCTCAAAAAA